AAAGTTATTGCATCAATTCAGAACATATTTCTTAAAACAAAATGTGCTTTTACAAAGCATAATGGTTTTATTAATCAGAGTCCATTGATATATCAGAAACAGTAAATACAAACATTGTTGTTACAATATAACAACATGCCCCAATCGTTTTGTAACAACTTGCTTCGATCCCGCCATTTTGAATACATGGCGAAATACTCTTGAGCGTTTTAAGATATTTATGCAATTACAACAAAATATTACACTATCCTATACTATTAATAAAGATGTTAAACATTGGAAACTTACCACGCGGTTCTGTATTTAAAAGTAGATAGGAATCACAATACGAAAAGAATTGCTTTTAGCTTGAAAAATAATGCAAATAAAGATATGACAACTCTAACAGCTTATCCTACTTCTAAATTTCACGTAGTGTTACACTGACGTGTCAATTACTATGTTAATTGTCAAGTTCTACCTCTTGCAGGTGCTCAGAAAACTTAATGTAGCAACTAATCCCAGTCTCCCCTATTTGTAATTAAAATTTCATTGTTCTTTCTAAACATTCTGAAGTATCTTGAATAAAACAAGCGAAAGCGCTTAATTAAATATTTTACTTTCAATTTTATGTATCGTCGGTAATATGAAAATAATTTTAAAAACATATTTCCAATTTATTCCTTTTTTTTCAGAATAAACAAAGGCCAGTGAATTGAATCTAATTACAGAATAAGGCTAATAGGAAAAAAAAACTTGGTTGAAACTTCTGATATAAACTATTTAAGCACAGATTTAGCCGTAATTGCGAAAAATAAATTTGCAAAATAGTTTCTCTGGGCTAGATCTATTTTATTATAAAATATGTGTTTAGTCATTGCATACTTCATTTCAGTTCTTTTAAAACTAAAAAAATTTCAAGTATTATGTTATTTCATTTTTCAAAGAATCAAGAAAATACTTTAAAAATTAAAAGATGTTTTTAGTGTAAGTTTCCTCATTTACACGAGACAAAAGAGTTCGAAGTTGGGATCGCAATTTGTGGATTTGATAATATGAATAACGAAAAGTTATTAGTGGATAGTGAACAGCACTTTTTACCTGTAATTGGAAATGACTTTATCAATTTGCAAGAACTAAAAATAAATTATTAAAATAATTAAATCTCGATAATCTATATATATAATCGAGACGGGTTGATAATAATAATAATAATAATAATAATAATCAATGCAGAGTTCAAACAGTTAGGAGTTGAAAGTTTGAAATTTGGTACACAGTTAGGTACGTACGTCACGAGAACGCACACTAAGAAGGGATTTTTCGAAATTCCCCCGAGGGGTGAGGGACAAGATGAAGTCTTCGACAATGGAAGTATTAAGTAACAATGGAAGAATCAACAATAAAAGTGTTATGAATAGAAGTGTTAACAATAAGTGTTAAGTAACAATGAAAGTGTTAACAGAAAGCGACGTGCAAGATTTACAAGTGCAGATGCGGTTTATTTTTCTTTTTGCGGAAAATCCAACATTTTTTAACCCATCTGTAATTAGTCTGTAAACAGGGGGACCTAATTCTTGCATTCTATGAAAACGGGTAAGATTGACTATAACGTAATAATTTTAATCTTAGCTACTGTTTGCCCGAGCAACACCGGGTTTATCTGCTAGTATTTAATAACACTTTTACAAAATGATCCAGTCTGTTTAATCACAATCATTCTTTAATAAGTATTTGAACGTATTTTTCGTTCAAAAATTCGGATTTTTAACGCGTCTTATGATTACGGTAAAAAAAAATAGAAAAATAAAATATTTAAATAGAAAGAAGAAATGTTTCAGAGTTTTTGATTGCTCCGAATGACTTTCTCTTCGCTTGCAGAACACAAATAAATGAACAGAAAAAAAGACGACTTCGACCGGTAGCTCCACCTCTTTCCTCCTCCCATCATCACCGATTGGTGTTTCTCTTCCGATCTCGTTCCGTGATCTTTCGCGGACGTCCTATTGGGGAGGCTCTACTGCAGTTGATGGAGACCAATCGTAGCTTAGTTCAATTCCAACCANTCTGTAATTAGTCTGTAAACAGAGGGACCTAATTCTTGCATTCTGTGAAAACGGATAAGATTGACAATAACGTAATAATCTTAATCTTCGCTATCGTTACTTTTTGCTCGAGCAATACCGGGTCTATCTGCTAGTATTTAATAAAATTTTTACAAAAATGATCCGGTCTGTTTAATCACAATCATACTTTAGTAAGTATTTGAACGTATTTTTCGTTCAATAATTCGGATTTTTAACGCGTCTTATGATTACGGGGGAAAAAAATAGAAAAATAAAATATTTAAATAGAAAGAAGAAACGTTTCAGAGTGTTTGATTGCTCCGAATGACTTTCTCTTCGCTTGCAGAACACAAATAAATGAACAGAAAAAAAGACGACTTCGACCGGTAGCTCCACCTCTTTCCTCCTCCCATCATCACCGATTGGTGTTTCTCTTCCGATCTCGTTCCGTGATCTTTCGCGGACGTCCTATTGGGGAGGCTCTACTGCAGTTGGTGGAGACCAATCGTAGCTTAGTTCATTTCCAACCATCAGAGAAAGAGAATCCGATTTGTCGGGAGAATGATTTTTAATCGAACGCTTCTTTCCGTCTGTTTTACGGTCAATCCTTACAACGCTGATTCCTGAACAACGGTGAATCTGGCAGAGATAAAAACTCACAAGAACATCTGTAGTTTCATTAAACAAAACACAAATGTTTTATTTGACGGAATCATTACTAAACAAAGCATTCTCTTCATTTTCTCCCTTTTTTTCTTCGGTCGGAACCGTCCACACTTATTCCTAAATCATTTATTTAGGCTAAGATTAGTCACTTATTTTCTCTATTCTTTTCTACACGCTAAAATATAATTTACAGAATTGCGAAACATTAGTAAGTGAGAATGAATGGAAAAAAACGAAGAATACAGGAAAAGAAAAACAGATATTCTATATGCTTATTAATAGCATTTTTAATTCGTTTTTTATAAAACTCATCCCTTCTCTCAAAATTAAGGTTGTTGCCATTACAGACGTATAAAACGAATTTTAAAAAGCTAGGAACAAAGATTACTGTATAGTAGTGTTTTCTAACCTCTTCGTTCATGTTGACGCATTCAAAACAAACTTTGCTAGAGAAATCAAAGGCTTAGGCTTACGTATATTATGAAATAATATACATTTGCGATAATACAGTTCTAATGACTGCGTAAACGTTTATTTGAGAACAATATTCCAACTTGTACAATACTTATACTATTTATCCAACACCTGTATATTACGATTTTAAATTAAAGGTTTTTCCTTATTGTTGATATTTTAATAATTTTGATGTCCGTTTTAACTGCCCGTTTCTTTTTTCACTAAAAAATAAACCAGCCACGTTTAAAATTTTAGTGGCCCCATCTCTTATCATATTTCATTGAAAAATTTGTTATATTTTTAACTGTTATAAAATGGCAAAAAGCTTAATATTGGGAATAGGAATGAGTTTTATAAAAAATGTAAATGTTAATAACGAATAAAATCGTAATTAAGTCGGACCCTACTGAAGATACATATCGCCCCCAATTATCTCCCCGACCCCTCGACTTTTATCAGCTAAAATTTAACAGCACGAATCACTCTAATAATCAAACAACCCTGGAAAATTTCACAAATTTTCGACATAAAGAATAGGAATTATTTAGCTTCGAAGAGGATGAACAAAAGCGTGCCCTTACACACACGCTAACATTCATACATACAGAAATTACTTCCCGAATTTTTCTGCATTTCCCGACGTTTCGAGAAAAAGTATAACGATCCGGTAAAAAATCTAAAAGAAAGTCATTTTTCGCCGATTCGCTATACTTTCTCTTTGTACAACAGTAGAGAAAGTACAAACGAAATTTGTTTTCTCTATTCTCGTTCAAATTCGACACTTCTTGCGCAGTTGTTTATTTTGTTCACGTGTGATTTGTGATTCTGAGTTAAATACTCCCGAGCGAGCGAGCTTTATTGAAGCTACTTGATTTGTTATCTAATTGTTAGTGTGTAACTTGTCGAGCCTTGTTTTTTTTCCTCTTTTTTTTCTTCCACCATTTTTCCTTCATAAATTTCACTTCCGGCCTTTGTTCTGTTGACCTAACCGTAATTGGTTTACCCAATGGTCTGATGGGTCACTATAAAATAGGGGGTGATACCGGATTGGTCAAAGGGGGTACTGGCGCGAAGGAAAAGGGGAAAAATCGTCATTCGAGGAGAAGAGCTGAAAAGAAGACAGAGATATCAAGGAATACGGAAAGTAGAATCACTAGCGTACCGAGGGGGGCAAGGGGGTGTATTATGCCCCGGACGCCAAATGGTCTCCAAGACAAACAAGATTTGTTTCTGGAGGGGAGGAAGCGCCAATATAGTGTCGTGACTGAGCGCTACTTATGTTCGCTACGCCATTGATAACACCGTAAAATATTGGAATCGCATTAACTTTGACCCTCCGATATTTTTGCAAATTTCAACCCAAAAATGCCAACAAAAATTCCTGCGATAAGTTGCGTAATTTTCCCGTGTGTTATTTTTAAAATAACATTTAATTTGTGTCTGGCGCCATATTTTCTGTCATTATATTATAATAGTTAATAATATAAAAACGTTTTTATAACAATTTAAGTATTGATATAAAGCAATGATAATAAAATTTATTAAAATAAATGTATGTTTCCAACAGACTTATACATGAACGCTGTTGTGTATATTCAAACAGACAGTTGCAAATAGAAAGTTTCAGAAAATTCGAAAAATCCTTAAATTTTCTGTTGAAACCACGTGTGCTAATAAATACCGACTTCTGCCGATCAACAAAAAAGTTTTCTGTTATAGAATTATAAAATTGGAAGGAAATTACATCTAAGTATGAATATGGTAACGTGGTTTAATTGAAAATTCAGGAAATGAAAAAAAAAATTAAAAAATGATTTTAATTTAAAACCAGTTTTACTTAAATCTTTTGAATATTATACATAAATAAAAATTATAAGTTTCGAAGCAAAATTGTTTCTAATTGTGAATCTTGTAATGTTTATTCAGGTCCGTATTCAGAATGAATTTCTTTAGACACAATTGTCATTCATTCAGTTTTTATCCGTTGTGAATACGAAGGTGTCTAATTAAGTTTCCTTTTACAGAAAACTTCTGTTTACACTCGTCACAAGTGCAAGGCTTTTCTGCTGTATGCGTGCGAAGATGTCTAATTAAGTGCTGCTTCTGTGAAAAGTTCTGTTTACATTCGTCACAAGTGTAAGGCTTTTCTCCAGTATGCGTGCGAAGATGTGTAATTAAGCTTCCTTTTACAGAAAACTTTTTTTCACACTCGTCACAAGTGTAAGGCTTTTCTCCTGTATGCGTGCGAAGATGTGTAATTAAGCTTCCTTTTTCAGAAAACTTTTTTTCACACTCGTCACAAGTGTAAGGTTTTTCTCCAGTATGCGTGCGAAGATGTTTAATTATGCTTCCTTTTTCAGAAAACTTTTTTTCACACTCGTCACAAGTGTAAGGTTTTTCTCCAGTATGCGTGCGAAAATGTGTAATTAAGTGCTCCTTCCGTGAAAACTTCTGTTCACATTGATCACAAGTGTAAGGCCTTTCTCCTCTATATATTCTTTCATGACGTTGCAAGTTTTTTTTAGATGTAAAGTTCTTCTCACAGTGTTTACATGAAAATATGTTTCGGTTCCTTTTATCTGCAATTAAAAAAATTGTTTTAAATAATATTTTATCTGTGTATAATCAATTAATTTTCTTCAATAACAATAATAATTATCCACTAATAATATTTAACTAAAAATAAACATTTTTATATCTAAAAGCAGATTTCTGTATCAAACCAAAAAACTAATTTTACAAATGACAAAGTTCGAGTATAAATATATCATATTACTAATNTTCTCCTTCTTTAGTTTCCGTTTTCTGTATTTTCAAGATGAAAATTAACTAAATAGAAAGAATAAAACAATCATAAATATCACACAAATTCATATTCAAAGTAATTAAAATTTCCATTCTCTACGCTAAGTCTTTTAAAATATGTAAATTCCCTTCTTTAATTATTTCATACTAACAGTGTAAAATTTATTAAAATTTTAGTAAAATTACAATAAATTTTTCAGAAATCTTCTCTTGTATTCGAACCTCAACTATGATCATATTAATTAATTAAAAATGCTTTTATTAAATTTTATGTAATACTTACCTTACCGGGCAACATTTAATTTGTGTGTGCCACCACCTGTTATAGAATGTTTTTAATTATTAAATATCATATTATTAATTATTATAAAATAGCAAAAAGCTTATGGCTGTGTTATATAAAAAAAATTGTCAATGGGAATAACATCATTGAATGAAATCATTAAGTTTGTGAACGATAGTCGTGTGTCATATCTCCAGTTGGGGCACTACTGCAGATGTGACACGACCTTCGTTTGTTTGTTCACCCCCTCGATCTTTAACCACCAAAATTGAATTGCGTCAATGCCCCAATACAGAAACATTCCTAAAAATTTCAAAATTTTGTACAGAAAGCAAACAAAGGAGTTAAGCCTGGACTCCACATTACCTAAAAACAAACTCAGAAACAGAACTGGAACATATAGAGTTCTCATTTCAGTTATGTTTTCGTTTTAACTTGACTCCATTAGAAAAGCGCCATCTGTTGATCAGTTCTGTAATTGTCGTAGAGTTAAATATGAATGACACTACGGATTTTGCCATGCTTTCTCTGCATTTATTAACAATGAAATTGTTAATAAATTTGAATTATTTACATTTTTTGTCGTACAGACATCTGTATTTTCTTACTTCTTCGACGAAGAATTCCAAATGTATTTGTTTCCTCATCGTTTTCGCTACATTTTCCGCCATTACGACAATCAAACTACATGTGACTACGCGTCACAAATCCTTGCATTTTATTGGTTGCAGTACGACAGAAGCGCGGAACGAAAACGGAAAAGTTAAATAATTTTTAACTCTGCTTTCAGTCTTGTTTCTGTCCAACTGAACGTTACAAAACTGAAAGTTTTATCAGTTTGGCTTTCAGTTTTACCATTACATAGCGGATTGCGGTAATGTGGAGTCCAGGCTTTATTATGCTTCGAAAAAGTTAACAGAATACTGTCCCCCACACGAACATTCATATATACAGAAAAATACGACAAAATTTTTGTATTTTTTAAAGTTTTAATTAAGGTCCCGAGTTCAAAAAACTAAAAATCATAAAAGGTCATTTTTTTCACCGATGGCCATAGTTTCCCTCGGTTTTATACGACAATCAGGAAAGTAATTATTGAAGTAAAATAAATTTTCTAAATTAGAAAAAGATATCAATGATTATCACAAAAAACTATATCCGAATATTCTTACGTATTCCTTTCAGTTCACGTATTTCTTCTATGACGTCATGAAGTCTAGATTTAGATCAGTACGTAACGATAACCCCGAACTGTTATCAAGGTGGAAAGTGAAGAGAACATCAATAATAACAGAGAAACTTTTTTGACGTCCCAGTATTTTACGTCTATAATATAAACAAAAAAATATTGATANTAAACATATTTATATTGAAAAGCACATTTCTGTATCAAACCAAAAAGCTAATTTTACAGATGACAAAGTTGGAGTATAAATATATCATATCACTATTATTATTTTCAAACACAGATATTCAAGGCTACATATTAAAGTAAACAATTTTCTGTAAAACATTTTAAAAGTGTTTTTATATCTTCACGCTCTTCCATTGATCGTTATTCCATCAAATAGATCTCTCTCCTGCTTCTTTAATTATATTTTACAATGAAAAGCATCAATATAAGCAAAACAGTATCTAATATGCAATTTGTTTATTTAATCTTGGAAAATACTTTCTTCTAATCTTTGTGTTTCATCCAAAGAACAACTGAAACTAACAACAAACATGAAATAAATTCTATAAAATTTAATTTAATTTGAGTTTTTTAACATTAGAATGTTTTATTCATAATCTTATTCATTAGTATTGTTAAATGTATAATTGCATATGTTAAATTCGAAAAAAATGAATATTGTATTTTTAAAAAATACTTCCTTCATGAAAACAGGAATTCGCAACGTTCAAGACTGTAATATACAAATTCTTGCAGGATTGAACTTCGTTCTTCTTCTCCTTTATTACTTTCCGTTTTCTGTATTTTCAAGAAGAAAATTAACTAAATGGAAAGAATAAAACGATCTTAAATATCAGACAGATTCATATTCAATAAATTCTGATACAGTGATTAAAATTTCAATTCTCTGCGTTAACTGTTTTAAAATATATAAATTCCCTTCTTTAATTATTTCGTATTAACAGTGTACATATTTAGTAAAAATTACAATAAATTTTTGAGAAACCTTTTCTGGTATTCGAAACTTAACTATGATCATATTAATTAATTAGAAATGCTTTTATTAAATTTTATCTAATATATCATTAAAAAATCCAGCAGCGAGTTTATTATTAATAACTTTCCCGGCAACATTTAATTTGTGTGTGTCGCCGCCTGTTATGATATTTAATAATTAAAAACATTCTATATTATTAATTATTATAAAATAGGAAAAAGCCTACTTTTTTGAGTAGGGATGAGTTTTATAAATAAAAAATTAATGGGAATAACGAGTTAAATCATCATGAAGTTTGTGAACGAGGGTCGCGTGTCATATCTCCTGTAGGGCGACTAAAAAAAATGTGACACACGACCTTCGTTTTTCTGTTCACCCTCTCGACCTTTAACCACCAAAATTAAATTGCATCAATGCCCCAATACAGAAACATTCCTCAAAATTTCAAAATTTTCTGCAGAAAGCAAACGAACAAAGGAGTTGTTTTGCTTCGAAAAAGTGAACGAAATAGTGCATTTCACACACACCCACACGAAAAACCATACATACAGAAAAATTCCACCAAACTATTTTTTGTATTTTTTGACGATTTAATTAAGGTCCCGAGTTCAAAATCTAAAAATCTTGAAAGGTGTTTTTTCTCTAATCGCCTNCTAATTGTAATACCAGAGAAAAAAAAACTTATACAATCAATCAATAAATTATTTTCTAGACTAATTTATTATCTATTATATTCATAAACACAGGTTGATTATAGGCTGATTAAAAGTAATTCAATGGGATGTAGTAATCTAACGAACCCGTTAGATTTAATCCCTACTTTCTCATAAAAAGTATTCAGTCAAGCTTGATGGGGGAAATTTCTAGTATTTATATAATTTATGCTCGTTTTGATGTACTAAATTTATTTAATGTCAGCGTTATCGACAATTTTAAATGAACAATATGACACTTAATATTGATAACTCTGCTGCTTGCCCTTACATTATTATTATTCAACGTATTTTCGATTTTTGTTCTAAAGCTTACCAAACAGCAATGAAGTATTTCAAAACAATTTATTACAATTGTAAATAATTATATATTCGATTACTGTGTGATTAGCCATTAAATATAAAATACAACGGTCTTCGTTTATGCAAGAATTACGTTAAATAATATGACATTTAATTGTTCTCTTATCGTCAAAGTTCTTAGAAAGTTAAATATAAATTGATTAAATCACACTATTAAAAATAAATAAATTCGATTAAGTCTGAATGAGATATAAATATCTAAAAAGTAGCGTGCAGTTCAGTTTTTACTTTTGATTAAGTAAATATTAAATCTATGTAATATCAATTATTTAATAAAAAGTTGAACTTTACAGTATTATAGTTTAAGAGTTTAAGAGGACACCAGTGGGAAAGCGTTTTTTCCGAATAATGCAATTTTTTATTTGTCAAATTTAATATGTGGGATCTACGAATATCTGTAGGATGATATTCGCAGGGATGAAATAAAAACAGATTACCACGAAAGGAGGAGACGAGTACAATACAGAATCAAACAAAATTTATATACCAAAAATATAGTCCAGATTACAACAGAGGAAGTTGGTGTAGGCCTAGCACGTGGTGGTCAACACAAAGAGTCCACACAATACACTCGTAGAACGCACCTTCCACTCGAACACCAAGGACCAGAATGCCGAATTGCTGGTTCCCCACCATATATATACNAATCTGTTGCCATTGTTCGAGTTCTCCGTGCTCGCCATCTCCATTATCACACGTGGTAATCCTGTCGCGGACGCCAATATGTGGGATCTACGAATATCTGTAGGATGATATTCGCAGAGATGAATAAAAAAGATTACCACGAAAGGAGGAGACGAGTACAATACAGAATCAAACAAAATTTATATACCAAAAATATAGTCTAGATTACAACACAGGAAGTTGGTGTAGGCCTGGCACGTGGCGGTCAACACAAAGAGTCCACACAATACACTCATAGAACGCACCTTCCACTCGAACACCAAGGACCAGAATGCCGAATTACTGGTTCCCCGCCATATATATACCACCCCCACCTACACCGAGCTGCCACACAAAAACCGCCCAAAAACAAACAAAAAATAAATTTTTTTTTTTTTTACAATACAATAACCACATCGGCAGTATACAAAAACTAATATATATATATACATATACACAAAAAGGAAATAAATCCGAAACGAAAGAAAACAAAAAATTTTTTTTTTTTTTTTTAACATGACGAACACGATAACACCGACCGACAATATATACTAGCATGACACAAATACAATTGTTAAATCAAAACAATAAATTAATGTTATACAAAAGGCATACTTTAAATAATAAATTTTCAAAAATGCTTACTTTTTACATCAGTAGTTTATCATTTCGGTTGCATGATTCGCAATGTCTTGTAAGATTGCTGAAAATGCTTTGATTTTACGGTTCTCTCTTCTCCACACAAACTCGATCAGATACGAGTTGAGATGACGGCGAGAAGTATCGCTTTGTACCTTGTTTCTCCATTTACAATTATATCTTCTCTATGTTCTGAGTGTGACATCCGCTTTCCGCATCGACAAAGTTTAATTTGTGATTCACTTGATAATCAAAATATCCTGCTTCTTGTAATTCTTTGGTACTGTAGCTTTTCCAACAATCAGAAAACATGGTTGTTCCTTCATGAACACGATTTTCTACTTCCTTCAATAACGTTTCTGCCGAACGGTTTGGCACTGGAAGAAGGAAACATTCCTTTGTCTCTCGATATAGTCCACCAAACACCCATTGTTGGGGTAAAACATGAACAACATTGTACTTCATTCTTGTATACATCGTTTCGTCTATTTCAACTATTTTGTTAACACCGCCTATCTTTTCGTATATTCCCCCTTATAACACAGTAGATACGTTCCGTTCTTTATGAAATTATGTTCTACGAGTCCTTAAATACATGAGCCAATCACAGTCCGGCACGTATGCAGTTTACGGACTACGGCTGTTTGAAAGGTTTTCTTCCATAAAATTAATCGATTCTACACTAATTTGACTCAACATTTCCAAAATACGTATAATTTTTTGGGAATAATCCATATAAACTATGCTATAAACAAAAAATTGTAGGATTACTTACCGAGCGTACACCGTTCGACGACGCCGTTGCTTAAGCTTGTTTTCGTCGCGGAGCGGCGCACCGAACGACGCTCCCGTGCTTCCTGATAAATTATTTTCTTTGAGAAAAATTCGCTGAACTTTGGAGACGTCATTAATATAAATATAATTTTTATGGAAGTTAAATAATAAATAGTTTTTAGTAGATCCGCTGCTCGTTTAAATTATACTCGACGGTTTGTACAATATCCGCTATTGGTCTAGGTTCGACCAATCCTGTCGTGACAGGAGTCGGAGATGACGTTTTACCGAATTATACGAGTTTTTTAGCGTGTTTGTACGAATACTGTCGCAATTGTTTCGCCGTGG